CTTATGCATTGGCACTGCTACTAAATTGAAGGTTAATCTTGTTTTGCTGCATTTTGTATTTATTAACAAATACATTACATCTGTCTACAAAAAAAGAAGAAACAATTGCAACATTACAAAACCAAAACACAGTGAAAATCTAATTTGTTTAATTCCTCAAGTTAGATTCATTTCAAACTAACATGAAGCAATTTTGATCACTTTATAAAATGTATTGCTTTGTTACCATTTCAATCAGTGCAAATCACAGCAGTCTTTGGTTTTGAATAGGAACTGTTTATGTTTATGTGCAGAACCCTGATATGACTTTTATTATGAATTGGCACAATATAAACAAACTGAATTGAACTGGAACTCATTTTTGTACAAAACTAAATAGAATTTTTTTTGTTATAATTGTTTGTGAATATGCATTGGTTTACTATTAAATTGTGCTGCTGAGTTTCAATGTAAAGGCTCATTTTGTATTATACGATCTTGTTTTGTAGCATTTCTTTTTTATTTTCCTCTTCCAAACCACATTATTCTGTCATTCCGTGAAAATGATTTGGACACCTGTGTCCTGGCCACTGTTTCTCATTATCTTATTTCTCTCCTCACTTGTCCGCTCTCATCTTCCTCCTCTACTCGCTCTGCTTGTTCTTCTCTGTTTATCTGTCTCACTCTTTCTGCCGTGCCCTCACAATCGACTGTAGCTGCAGGCTGAAAAGCTTGTTCACCAGCCTCTTTTTTTTTTCTCCCAAAACGAAGCTGCTGCRTTAAGCAGCTTTGCTTCAAATGTTTGCTTGCCAGCATGTCAAACCTTTTTAACAACAATCCAATAGCAATCATAATGAGCAAGACTGTCTATATAATTAGTTTTTCTTTTTCATTTAGATTATGAACATATGTTTTTAATTAGATCTAAAATGACTTTAATCTTGGTAAAATAAAACGATTTAAAAAGCTGGCACTTTAAACACTTGGTGGTAATTTCTGCTGAGAGTTTACTTTAAGTCTAGCTTCAGGTTCTGATCTTTTTCTGCTTTTAATTATGTATTCATATTAGAACATTTTTGATCTATATGGCCTCCACTGGCATGTCTCCTGTCCTCAGGCTTGTCCTGTGCATTAGRCATTTGACAGTCTCCTTATAGCAGAAATGAGGGGTGTGCTCTGTGACTGATGGAGCTCCTTTGTCAATGACAGGGGAGCTGCTGCTGGCAGTTTGGGGCCAAAGAACAGTACAGATTACATTAACATCAGTCAAGCTGTTGTCAGACTAGTAGGACATAAATAGGACCTTATTGATGCATAATGCAACAACTTTTCAACTTGACGTTTTCTGAGTAATAGAATTGGAGAGTGAGTCTGCAGCTAAAAAGGCAGTTTGCCAGAAAAGATCTGCAGAGTGGTTTTAAAAAAAAGTGGKAAAAAAATGCACGGGGAGAAAATCCCGAAGAGCGATAATGTGCGGAGTTGTGAGGGTTTATTTGCACAAGTTAACAAAATAATCGAGAGCGCGCGTGCAGGAGCTGGCATTTGGCAATTTCGCTGTCAAAAAGTAAGACTGAAAACACGGTAATGTTAGAAGCTATCCTCGTCGTTATGATAGAGGCTGGAATTAATTCGAGCAGCACACCACCTCGTTTTCTCTACTTCGCTGAMTATCGTTTTGCCCCTAAAGTGCTTTGACAGCTTTGTAATGGAGAAAACAAAGCTTTTGACCCAGTCTGGCACAAGCAAAAATCCTAGGAAGCCTTGACACAAAAATTGCACTGTGCTGTTTGATCATTACTGACACTGCCCCTACTGTGTCTCTCCTCCTACTTCAGTACAGTCAAGTTCACAGAGACTTATAAAATATAGGTGCAGGTGTAGAAAGAAACTGGTGTGCACCTTAGAAAAATACCACTTTGCAAGCATAAAGGGCYGGTATGTGTTGTGTACTGTCATAAAAATAGATGTGTGTGCTTTCCCATGGCATTTGAAATTTTTAAGCAGTTTAAAGTTTGTTTTAGATCGGCGGGGGGGGGGGTATTGAGTATGTAATAATGGTGTTTTTGTTGACAGTCTGTTCGCTCAAAAAGGATGGGAACACTACAGCCGCCTTGCTCGTTCATTTAATCATTCTTCCCCTTCTGTTTATACGCTCCCAAGGAAGACTGAATTTCTGTGCGACAGACTTGAGGAGGGAAAGCTGGGGACAGTTCCCTGGAGTCCGGACACCAAGGGCCTCGGGCCTCCACCGCTCATAAACAGATGTGTCCTTGTCCCCAGCCAAGCGCAGCCACTCATGGCAAAGCAGGGGCCCAATAATTGTGAAGAATTGAAAGCTAAATATTGGCTTTATCTCCTCAGTAATAAAAGGGCCATGAAATTGATTTAATGCTGCAGCGCTTCTCTTGGGTGGCTTCTTACAGCGTGAGCACAAAACAATGAGCAGCAGCCATCTATTAATTAACCCACCTAATCCTGCAAAGTTAATCTCTCACCACAACTTTGCCCGCAACTAACTTCCAAGCCAGTGGGTCTATTGGGGGTGTCATGACAAAAGCGGTGAGGGGAAGATAGATTCAGCACTTAGGAAAAGAGGAAGCGGCGGGGAGGGGAGGAGGACACCGTTCTGCAAAGCAACCTTGGGGATGCTGTTGGGGAAATGCAAGGGGACATGGCCAGCACTGAGAAAGCAACAATGTTGATTTTTTTATTTTATGTTTTGATTTTATTTATTCTCCTTGTGTGAAAGGAGGCAAAGAATATCATTTGAGCTGTTGGAAACAGGTTTGGATTCAGTTGCTACAGCACAAAAAGGTTTGATTTTAGTTGCCTTTTTTTATTTTTTGACTTTTGTTCGTAGTTTTTCTGCTGCCACCCCAGTCTCTTATTCTCTCCTGAGCCATTAGATAGTCGGTTGGGAAAAGTGGCATTTCTTTCTGTTCTTCACCTCCCTGCCAGTCGCAGCACGACGGCGCCTCACACCCAACAACRTACATTCATGGCCATATTGTGCCGGCGGAGTTGTGAATTACCTCCTTCTCGGCTGCCTGATGAAAAGCTACGTGTTTGTCTCCTCGACGGCGGCTCATCTGACCCTGCCCTCTCACCTCCGCCTCCCCCCACAGCACTCCTTCTCCTCCRTCTCATTGGTCTTTTGTGCGAGCCTCTCTTCTTCCTCTTCTTCGCGCCGTGGCAGAACAAAGCTGGCTCGGAAAATAGGTCACCTGCTGGTGCTCCTCTCACCTCCGCAGCATTCAACAAAAAAATATATATAATCCTCGAAGGTGTCCTGTACCATTTTTGCAACGCCTAAACCACAATCTCCACAATATGGCCGAGGCGCAGAAGAAGCACCCGTGCACACATTTAGCTGGAAAAAATAGATATATATTTCAAGAAAAAAACTCCAACTGAGGGAATTTGGAGATTTTTTTTTTTGTGCTAGTGAGGAAAGCAGTTCCTGTGGAGATAATTTTAGGAGGCTGATTAGGCAAAGACGGTGTTGAGCCCAGAGTGAGGAATCTCATCATCACTACTAATGACATGCCATTCCTGTGCTGAGAGAGAAGCACAAGCCCTGGGCATGGACTAGCCTCTCTCAGCCACCTCTAGCGGCTGTGTTCATTAAGGCCAACTATGTAATTACAATTCACAGATACTGCTTTGGCTTAATTACAGTCTGATTATTGGACTGATATTTGTTGGAATTATCAGGCACTTATAAAGTGGATTTTATGTTTGCGTGGAATAAAAGCTTTCTAATTCATAAGTAAAACTGTCAGCTTAGACTGATTTATGATTGTATACATAAACATGCTTTGAAGTGTAAGAAAATTTAGTGTTCATTAACTGAAATCGAGACGAAACCACATAATTGTTGAATAGATTAAAATGTGAAGAGACGAGGACCATACAACACCAGTGACTGAAGTGAAYGGAGGTTTAGTGCTGATCGGTCAGTCATGAAACCAATGCTGAATGAAAACCGGAAGTCCCGACATATATATACATGTTCTTCAGTGCCTGGTACACCCACTACTGGCCTACGGCTGAATCGCAGACACTCAGACAAAAAGACCTGTAATTATGTTAGATTAACAGTTTTTTATGTGTTGTGATGGTGTTTTGGGCATGTATCTAAACTATTTTAATCAAGACATAACAATTGTCAAACAATGGATTATAAAAGTCAATACTTAAAAAGGAAAACTAAGACAAAGAGTGTGGTGTCTTAAATCAGTATCTAATAAATTCCTTCAGAAGTTTCAGCAATCGTATCTTTTGAGTACTATAAATATAAAAAAATATGAGACGTATACAGTCTTTATTTAAGCTCTCAGATAAGCTTTCCTTGGTGACAAAATCTACAGAAAGATGCTTCCTATCTGATTGTGGGGGAAATATTTTTCTTTTGCTTTGTATCTTCCACCTGGAAAGCCCAACAAAAGTGGGGAATGCATTACACTGGATTATTCTGATGCCGTTGAAAGTCGCGGTAATTGGGAGCACTCGGAACAAAATGCAGCCGTGGTCCCCGGAGGTAGGGCTATTATGGCCATGTCTGTGCGGCTCTAAAGTGTCTATAATCTTTTATCTGAAGCATGTGACATAAACAGCCTCAGAGCCAAACTCTTTTACTATTGCAATCATAGACTGGAGTCGGCTGGCTCGTGGTTTCGTGCTATAGAGAACAGCTTTTCTTTTTGTGAAAATGTTTGGGGAAAGAAATCTGATTTATGAGCTGTACCTTTGTTGTAAATGTCCGTCTGTTGAATGATTCTTTCCCTTCGCTGAGGAGTCGACCCAACTGTTCATGTTTTAACACGTCCACCAGGCTTTTGAATGTCACAAAGGTGCCTGCCGATAGATTTCACCCTGACACGAGCCCCCCGGCTCCGACAGCTATAGTTTTTATCCCACAGCTCAGCACAGGTATCAACATTGTCCTGTAGCTTTGGGATGTGCTCATCCATGTGCAGGAAGTGATGTGTGTGTATGTGTGTGTGTATATGTGCCTGCAGGCTTCCCGGCGACAGCATATGGACCGGTGGCAGCGGCGGCGGTAGCAGCAGTGCGTGGCTCAGGTAGGGGGGCCCGTGGAAGAGGCGGCTACTTGGCGTACCCACAGAGCACAGGGCCAGGTAAACGCTCTGTCCATGTTCTGTGTGGCTGCTGCTCTCTTCAACTTCTCCTGCTCTGCTTCTCCCCATAGACGTAGCTCTTTAGGGCGTGAATACAAAACAGCAACCTGTTTAGATTAGACAGACAAATAGTTCTGAATTGTAAATTTTCTTGTTAATCAAAAACGGAGACTGTAATTCATGGATCCATAAAACATCAGCCACAGAAGAAAATTTAAAAAGTCTGYGAAACCTTTGACAAATTATTTGAAATTGACTCTTTTATGATTATAAAGGTCTTCTCTAGAATTAATCTTGTGCAAAAAGAAAAAGATCAAATAAAATGTTCTGTTCAAAACATCCTTAATCAAAACTTTTGAGGGTTCATAAAATAAAAATATGAGGTGCTCAACTTGATATTGTCTAGTATTTAAAGTAAGGTTAAAATCCACTTGTCAGAGTAAATATTAACATTTAGCCTAACATTCAATGACAAACTAATGAGGTTTTAGTCAGACATCAAGTTGCAGAATGTTTTGTTATATAAGAAAATAGTTTCATAAAGCAATTTTTTTTATTTTTACTTTAGCTTTTAAGTGCTAACCTAAACGCTGGATGTCTTTTAGCCTTTGTCATGTTGCTGCTACACAATTTTCACAATTTTCTCCTTGTTGCTCTTCAAATAAACACAACTGTAATTACAGAAATTAGGCTAAAATATAGACCTCAGACTTCACACATTCTGTTCATAAAATACATCTGTGGTGAGGTTTTTCACCAAAAACAGGACGCCACATCCCTTCTGTCGTAAGCAGCATTGATCGACTTGTCGGCTTCATTTAGACATCCAGCTTTTTTCCTCCCTTGCAACTGTAGATCATTCAATACTTGTCAATACCAACTTCCCTTGACTGAACACACAGCCTCCCATCTTTAGGGAAAAGTGTCCCTCCTAATCAGGCACACCATTAGAAGCTTGCTGAAGAAAATGGCTTTTAATTGTTACCCAGATCGTGTCTGATTTGTGCAGCGGCTCACAGATAAAAAAGTTAACCAGCGAACTGCTGTTTAGTGCCACGTGAAGTGAAGTGAGACGAGCTCACTGAAACGCGCAGGCAGCGGCAGCCGCTAGTGAACACTGCCTGCGTGCAGACACGTGTGCAAATTCACACTCCTGTCGTCCTTCTGAACTTAATTCAAATCAACAAAAAGGAAACGCTGGAAGCCAATCAGATGCTCTTTCTTTCACATCAGGCTGTTTGATTTCACATTTTCAAAACAAACAATTTGCCCAACAATTGCAACGAAACATTACTTAGAAGCAGGAGTGTTGATTTGGGGTTAGCAGCAGCCAGGAACCCAGAGACGTGAAGGCAGCCATTATGTACAGTTTAATTCTGACAGCTGCAAATGGAAAGAAGACAAGTAAATGATTATGAACAAGAGGCTAAGAGGTGGGGCATCAAAGTGGAAAACAGTGGCATCATGAGCCAGCTTTAGAGTGCTTAAACAGTCAAGAGAGAAAGTAAAAACAAAATTACTCAGAGAAATGGCCACGATATGTCAAAATGTGTCAGAATTTTTCTGAAAAACCAAAACATTTAATAAATCACTGCAGTAAAGGGTCGACTGTAAGCAGGGTTGGAATAATTCAGCTGTATTGTGTGGATTGTTTGCAGTAATTGTTATCAAGAGAAAATAATGTCCTCTTTGCATCCTAACAAAGAAGTTCTCGTCTTCTTGGACTTTTGACCACAAAAGGTTTTAAATGTTTATTTCGTGTTTGAGATCAGGCTAATAACAGACTGAATGGATTCACAGGTTAAACGCTCTCAACTCTACACAGACTCAAACCAAACAGAGGACACGGATTGTTTGGGCTTGACCTTCCTCGGTGCGTATTGTCTGGGGATGCTGCTGCATCACCGACCCATCTTACGGTTTAATTTGGAGCAGTCAGCCCAGTGTCAGCTCAGGAATAGCAATTCTGCTGGCTTCATTTTTTGCTAAAATCTCTAATTTTTCTGGAGACAATGTGTTTTCTGCTGGTAAAATAAAAGGCATTTTGTAACTGTTGATTCTTTGTGCTTTGACTCCACCTACAGTTCCCCTAAAGCACCACAGGTTGTGTTTACTTTTGTCTGGGGGGTGGGGAGCACTGATTGTGTGCCGACGTCTAATTAGCAAATCACAGTTGAGTGAAAGAAACCCATAAGGATTACATAATATATGCAACAAAAAAAGTCAAACAAAGCTTTCCGCGTAGCTCTAAATCTGAGGAAATTGTTTGCAATGTGGAAGACATTTTTCATCACTTTCATTCTTCTCCCAGCTTTCAGCAAACAAAACTGACATGACTTCTGTCGTAGTGACAGGCCTCTGCTGGAAGTATACCCTGAACACTGTAGTGGTTCTTTCAGCTGCTCCCTTTTGCTGAGGTTACAATATCCCATAAAAGATTTGGCATTTTTTGTACACTGGATGCTATTTCTGATATAACCTGATTATGATACCACTGAGCTACCATGGTCCAAGCACTATAGTAGTGTTCAAAACTAGAAAACTCACTAAAGATGTAGATTTTGCAGCATTTTTGTGAAGAATCCAAGATTTTTTTCTGCTTGGACAGGCTTTGAAAGATGTTATCTCTCTAGATACTTTTCATTGTGGCAAAAGTAGCACCTGAGTTTTAGTTTAAAGTGCCATTTTTGCTGCCCTGATCTCCACCAGGTGGCATGTTGCACAAAAAGGACCAGTCCTGATGCATTTTTAGAAAGGTTTCCAGGTTTCCGAGGCTGTAGCTTCAGGCGAGAAATAGATCAGAGTGATCTGGCTACAGCACAGAGTTTACCATAGCCTGGAGGTAGAGAGAAGCTAGCCCATGCTTGGCTTTATAAGCTGCAGTTGCCATTTTAAATCTGGTTTGGAGCTTTGTTAGAGTCCCGTTGGAGGACAGAAAGGGTAGTCACATAATACCTTGAATGAATTTTTGCAGAGAGGAGGAAACGACTAATGTGGAGACTCTTCGTAGCACATACTGTGTTGGATTTTTGATAAGTGTAGTCGAACTTCTGCTGCTGATAAGGATAGACCCGTAGAAATCACCCAACATTGCTTTCATTTATTTTGTCAAGAACTTTAATGCATAAAGATGTCGAATCTTGTTGACGTGATTTTGAGATGTTCTTTTTTGCGTGGAAAGTTTCATACTTCCACTGTCCCTCCCACCGCAGCATTCGTCACAGGTAAATAGTCACAACACAACAACGGCATGCTAGTCAAAGACGGATGTTTATTTTCAGTTGATGATGGAGAAGCAAGAGCTGGTATTTTGGCTGTTAACCAAGGAGAAGCACTATTTTGTAAATTTGTCTAAAAAGAGACCGCCTGTGTCTCCACGCTGTCTCCTCTGTGCACAAAAAATGTTTAATCTCCTTTTTTTCACTAGTTTYATAAGTTTTGCTGGAACAGTTGTAAAGATGACTGTATTTTATAACAGCCTCGACCATCTGCTCCTAAGCTCTTAAGAAAACATTACTTTGCCCAAAACCTTTGAGAAACTAGTTCTAACTGGAGGCAATGCTCAAGTCAGGGTCTCAGCAGGAGGTGCAAGAAGAAGAATATGCCATTTTTATCCCACAATATCAGYGAGAAACAACTTCTCACTTCACCTATGAACCAGGCTTTAGTCCTTATGGTCAAATAATTAATAAGCCTGTACAGAAAATGGATGATGGGTGGATAATGTGAATTATAGTTGTTTTCATCTTTTTTACATCCTTATTTAAAAGTTTCTGTGTGCACTGTCGATAAAGACTGATTCAGATGGTTCTGATTGTCTTAAAACTAACCACAGACGTAGACCTAACAGGAATAGTGCAGAAGGCTGTTTCTAAATAAATATTTTACTTAACAACTATTCATGTGGATGTTAGATTTTGTGCATTCAGATTAACAATAAAAGGATATATCTGAATCATCACATTTATAGAGTACAATTCCTCATTAACAAAGCATTGARTTCAACCATGAAAATACATTAATATATACTGTATTTTGTATCTCAATAAAATCCTGAAAAATAAAGATATAAATTTAAAGTCTTATTGTCAAAATCAATTTCAAAATAAACCTCCGTGAACTTGATTACAGGTTCAAATTTCTGTTRGATTTACCTTTACCTGTAGAGAAGAAAAAGCACTTCCTGCTGCAACTAAAGCTCTAATTTGCTGCTTGTGACTCGGTGCTGTCTGTGRTGCACTATTTAAAAAAAACATTTTAATAGAATGAAAGATGGTCTTTACACCATTAAAAACCATTTCTGTCTTCAGATGGTTAAAGTACTTGTTTGTTCTCTTTGCTTTTACACATCTCACGTTATTTTCTACATATTCTTTCTCCACTGATTAAAAAGGAAATTTATGTTAAAGATGTTTTCAAGTTAAAATAATACAACTTATCCTGTGTGTGGCTGTGTGAGCAGGACTTAATCAGCTCTGCTCTTAGTGAGCTGTGGTGAATCTGCCCAGCTCTGCAGGCCAGGAGCAGTTGAAATTTGGTGCAAAACTGCGTGAGCAGACAGGCCGAGCCAGTCCTGCCTGCTTGGGTTTTTTGTCTTAGGCCTTGGGAGATATTTGACACATCAGGGAGGGCAAAGTGTCCCTTTGCAACTCCACCACAAAGTGGAGGCTCTCACAGCTGTGGAGAGCAGATGTTCTGAGGTTACAGGCACAGGCCTTCAGGGACATCACCGCTCTACCCTCCAGGGGCCACAGACAAAACGCACTCTCCAAAGAAGCCTCAGCAGAGGCTTGGTGTAGTTTYTCTTCAGTCCTGGAAATCCTAACATAAAAAAAGCATGTGTTGGATCTTATAATACAGATTTGATTTTTTTGTTGTTGTTGTTTTTCTGTGTACTTACAAAAAATATAGTCCACCCTTTTTCTATTGTAGAACTTTTACCAGGTTCTGAAGTTGTTACAGCAAATTCCTCCATATTATTATTTATTAAACAAAAAAAT